TTTCAACCTAGGTAAGATTTACAAACAATAATCAGTTTTTTTTCATGAAAATCCGTCAAAAATGAATGGAATGCTATATGAAATAGACTTTTATCTATCAATTAAGTTCTGATTAAACGTAAAACTGCTGCAACGAATGTCATTTCATAACATTAAAAAAAAAATATAGCTAGCCTTGTCACAATGTATTAACGATGGTTTTACTATATCAACTTTTAAAGTCACTTGTACATAACAACGAACATTTTACATAAAAACTATCTGAAATAGATCTTGAATATCCTGTTATGAATCATCCAAAAAATATTAAATAAATATGCATCCACATTGTTTTAATATTATCAAGAATTGTATTCACAAAACAGTCTAACCTTTCCGTACGCAAACTTTCAGTCGAGGGTCAAGCGAGGCGTAGCGACGAGGATTACTTGTGATATTATGCATTTTCATTGCTCGTGTATAAAAGTCTCGAAAATTTTCAAGAAAAGACTTTTTTTCACAACAACTAGAACAAATCAAAATACATTTGAAAAAAAACCAAGACCTGCTGTGATACATGCATATTAAAATGAGTGTATGACTGTAATTGTGTTCCATGAGAAATAGATTGTTTTTTAATGAGTGATTAATACAATCTGATTAGTTTAAATTGAGAGGTAAATAAAAAGTCACAAACAACAAAAAACACATCTGCTAAACAACTATTAAATCTTGATCTGCATCATCTATTCAAGTCTTATTACACTATCAAACCTATGAAATGAATGTAACAATTTTAGAGTAGTCACTAGATTTATCCTTCTAAAAATTCAGTATATTAAACTTAACATTTCATTTTAATAAAAATAAATGAAAATATTTATTTGCTTTAAGTTTTAAAGATATTTCATAATATTTTTTTTTTCGTTCTATGAATCAAGATTTAAGTAAAAGATAAATTGTCAAAGCATCAATAAAAAAGACAACAACGAATTTACATTTTATTGCACAACATCATTTTTCAATATGCAACTATCTGCATTCGTCTTGTTTATATTATTACTCAAAACAAACTTTGTTCAAAATAGTGTAATTCATACATATGATCTTGCATCGCAAATGCCATCACGTTTTGTTTGTATGTTTTCTGTCAGTTGGTTTGGTATTGGCCCATCCGATCCTCAAGGAAAGGGACCAGATCCATATACAAATCATTGGGATATTGGTAAGCAAGGTTCATGTGTTTCTGCATCTCAACCTGATCAATGTGGAACAGATGGACAAAGAAATATATCGTCATATTATCGACCACTTGCTGGTATTTATTCATCAAGTGGATTGGATAATGAAAGTCTTGCACGTATTGATCTTATGTTAACAACATTGTAAAAAGACGATAATTGTGATTATGGTCATGCACAATAGAATGCGTGGACAATTCAACTTGAATCTATACAACTTTCATCAAAATATATGCGTAATCCATCGATAAATGTTGAAATTCCCTATCAAGCATATTTACATTTTCGTCAAAGAACTCAAATTTTAAAATTTTCATCTGGTGTTATTATTCCTGGTTATGATAGTACTTGGTTATATTCATTTTCAAATTATTTAGGTCTTGGCCGTTGTGACAATTCAAATTCGAGTAATCTTCGAGATACTTGTCTAAATGTGACTATAGCTGATTTTGTCGATATTATATCTAATATATCTTTAACTTCAAATTATCTTATTAATGGCAAACCTCTTATTTTTATTTATGCATCTCTAGGAGGAAAATTTCTCACATCTGCAGAATGGTCATATATATGGTCGAGTGTTCGTCAACGCGTTACACTTGATTTTTATACAATATGTACAACTACAAGTCTATTGAGTGTATTTGATGGTGTAGCTCCTTGGATTGATGTAGTTGCTTGGTCAATGACAAATAATGCTCTTCCTATATACAATCGAACACTAGCATGGATGAAATTAGTATATGGTCCTATATTATCCTCAAATATATCATCAGGTCGTATTATTATGGGTGGCTTAAGTGTTGGTTTCAATGATTTTTCTCAAGGATGGGGTGGTTGTCAACAAAGAACTATTCCTCGTCATCCTGATTTAATTCGTGCTCAACTTGATTATTTTGCATCACATTCTATTCGACGTTTATTTGTTTATACTTGGGATGATTGGACTGAAGGTAGTCAATTTGAACCAGATGTAACGAATGGAGTACAATATTTACTTTTGTTACGACAATCTATTGCTTCTTTCTATGGTGAAACACAAAATATAAATGGTGATAATAAACTTGTTTCAAGATGGATGAATTATCCTCAGTTAAGAAATTGTACTCACATTAATGTGATATCAGTACCTACTATTGATATTTCATGTCCAACAACAATAACATCTAATTAAGCTAATTATCTTTATTCATATTGAGTGATTCTTATAATTGTTAAACTATTTTATTATTTTTAAAAAAAGACATATAATAAACATAAATTTTATCTTTAATTTTTTCTTTGCATCTATTGATGAACAGAATACTTTTGAAAACGATACAGTGTTTATAGATTATACGCATTTATTTGCGATTTACTAAACCCGAATACAATTATTTAGTTAAATACTTAATGTTTACGTTACATAGTATTCGTTTTGCAGAGCTGTAAAAGTACGAATACAACTTGTACTACATTTTTCTTATAGAATTCTGGAATTCATGTACTTTATGTACTATATACTCTGTATTATATACAATACAGAGGGGAGTGCTTGTATAATACATGGTACATAATACATAATGTACATAAACTATATGAATTCTAAGAGAACAGGTAGTACAAGTTGTACTCCTATTTGCGCAGCTCTCTTATTTGTTTATAATGGCAAGCATTATGTGTTTTCTTGCAAGATTTTAATTCTGTATGAGTATGGTAATTCTGATGCTTTATTGTTTCAAAACAAAACAGGAGCTAATGAAGTAAAAGAGAAATGTTGCTTAAAAATCCAATGAAAAACAGCCTAAGAAGAAGTAAAACTATTGAACACCAAATTATCTTGTTCTGTTTGGATTCTTGGAAATAAAATCAGAGCAGATGTTGTTCAAATCAAGTAAATCTAATTTTTGTCTAAAAATGTAAGAAATAATAACATGATTTAAATGTTGTTGAGTGATGGCATAGTGTAATTATGTTTTTTATTCGATGGATTACACTGAATTGCAGGTGAAATTTGTTTGAAACTATTTTTGATCTTTTGCTTTTTAATTTGAGAGAAAGATATAATTTTGTTTTGTTTAGATGGCATTAGTATACGCAAGGATTAATTTTATTCAAGTATCCAAAATTCAAAAGTTATTTTAAACGGAAGTTTAAAACAACAATTAAACTGTTTTATATCAAGGATTCTCGTCAGAAAAGCCTTTTTTTTCGAAAAATAATTGAAGTTGAGTTTGTATCATAGTTAGATGTGGCGAAGTTCCCTCTATCAGATTATATATATGNCCTCCTTTTCTGGGAGGCATAATTAACGACGAACCACTCGTAGAATCGACTGGAACTAATTAACTTAATTAATAATTTCAAAAATAATTTGAAAATAATGTAATATAATTAATTAATCAAATAAATAAATTCGACGAGTTGAACAAAGAAATGTATGTAACCGACGAAAATAAGATGCGACCTATCTCGACCGTGTAAAGTGACAAATGATTTTCTTTATTAAACAATATAGATACATCACCGACATATATTCGCCATCAAAGTATACATCGTTATTAGTACAACAAGCAGATGTAAGTTGTTTAACATTGCAGTATCTTTCATAAGCACTTTCAGTCTATCAGTGTACAGAACACTTTTCTATCTTTAAATGATACCAGTAATAAAGTATAGTTTATGTGGACTTTATATTGTGCTTGAACGTATGAAAACAACAAAATATAAGTAAATATTAACAAATTCTGCCAATTTTATGAAAATAGAGATGAATTTAGTGATTCTTTTCTCGTTAACACAGACAGTTTGCAGCTATTTGTGAATTTAATGGCAAGAATAGCAATTAATATGCTACTGCAATAGATCCTGATTATTCGATAGTTATAAAAAACCTTGATGATTTGTGTCCGTGCTTTCTATGATTCGGGCAGACGCAGGAACTATTTGTTGTGCATAAGTAGTTATTAAAATGCCTCAAATGGAAAACGGCAGATTCTAGGACACCGTGGGACTCCTCGAAACTCTTCAGAACTCCATGGGACTCTTCGGAATTCTATGGAAGACCATGGGACTCCTCAGGACTCCATGGGACTCCTCGCAACTTCATGAGACTTCTCGAAACTCCATGGAACTCCTCGGGACTCCAAGAAATTGGAGTTTGCTATTTTCCCCTGGAATGTCTTGAAAAAGCTTGTTAGCGCAGCTCCTGCGGAGCTGAAATGTGGAAGTCACGTATATCTGTAGCTTTGTTACCTGACGCATCATCTGTATACTGAAAGACTTCTCGTCAACTATGGTTGTTTTCCTTGAGAATCGATGAAAAGAGCGGGAATTTATTATTTATTTGTATATTAAAAAAATATATTAAAAAAGAAAATATTGCTTTTTCATCTAAGCGCGCTCGATTTCATTTATAATTATTGTTATATACTCGATAATAATCTTTTTTTTTTTGTTTTCTAATTAGAAGTTATTTTACTCCACCATCGACTATTTGATGAATGCGGTTGTTGCAGTCTGTAAGGGGAGGGCGAGGGAGAGCCGCAAAACCTCGAACTTAAAACTTACACTCACTTTTTTCTTCGAAAGTATACGTGATTTCCACAAGATTGCGAAGACCAGAAGATTAGGAACATCTTGGCAACACTCTTCACTAGTCTAAACAATCGAAGTAATTCGCGCCTTGAAGCCTTACATATTTGTTATAAAATATCATTGTGATTCTACTAACGAGGAAACATATTTAAGTGCCCCCTCCTCTGTGAAGGGATTTAAAACTATTCTATTCGATAGAAACCTTCATGTGTATCTCTAATATGATTGTCTTAGATACTTACGTCTATATATGAAAAAACTGAGAGAATCAAACTTTTTCATTTTTATGCCCTTTTCCTGTTATGAAAGATGTACCACTTTCCCACATATATAAGATTTACAAACAATAGTCAATTTTTTTCTGAAAAACCGTCAAAAATGAATGGAATGCTACATGAAATAGACTTTTGTCTACCATGAATTATAGTATTGCATCCATTCCTGATCATGTATCAAGAATAATTATTGGTATACATCAGTTAGCAGAGTTAAAAGGACTTTTATTATGCATTTAAAACAAAATGAGATCTAATGCGGTAATATTTGATTTATTTCGAGTGAAATCACTGGATATTTCGCAACCAAAAGTTGAAAATTTTTTCTCATTATTTCTGGACCATTATTCCGCCGACTGAAGAAAGGGTCATACGAATTAAAATAGTTTGTGGGTTTGTTTGCTTGTACGGAGTCAAAAAAAGATTCTGTATGATCAAAAAATTTAATATTACAAGCTTATGTTTCCAACATGACGAATGAGGGAGTCGTAGATTTCCTAGGGTGGGCTATCTACCAGTCATACTTTTTTTTCGCTTCATTTCCTAACACATGAGGGACGCCTAATGAGAATTTGGACAATGGTCAGCCTTCAGACGTATGAATAGGTACTTATAGATTAATGAATTCTAAAGTGTATGGGTTGTCATAGTTACAGGGAGGAGGGCCAAAGCGTAGATGAATGTTTATCGCATCGTAACCTCGAAAGTGTGGGAAATTTTGGCTGAGGATGGGTGTGGGTGTGAGGTATGAATTTGCAGTTCGGCTTTAGACGTCAAGTTGATGGTAAAGGTATGAAGTGGTACGACCGTATGTATATATGTGGCAGTAACATTGATTTTTTCATTCGAACATGGGATGTAGTAATGTACGTGAGGGTGCCGCTTAATGTCTATAACGTGTCGTTGAGGATGGAATGTGAATTTAGATCTAGTTCTGTTCATGGATGTGCTCTTGGCGCAGCTGAACACCAGTCTAATAATTAAGATTTACTAACCTTGATTATAAAGAACAGTCTTTCTTGAGAAACAAAGAACAAGAAGAAAATACTCTAGTGATGAATTTCAAATATCAGTAGGCAGTGGGTGTAGATGGCAATGTAGATAGCTAGGAGATATATCGAGACTCAGACCCCATAACTACATACACTCATACTCATACCTACCTATAAACATACCGGCGCGCACCAACACCTACACTCGAAAATATAACATCAGAGCATAGAATTATTCTAGTCGAATTGTATTCAAATGAAGTGAACATACATCTAAATATACAGTAGCGATTTAAAATGCTTTCCCTATACTGTTGTCATCACATGATACTAATATTTGTATTACTGTACGACTTTATAAGTTGATTCGCATCTGTGACATTTCATTTTAATAAAAATAAATGCGAGTGTTTATTTGTCTTAAGTTTTAAAGAGATTTCATAATATTTTTTTTTTCATTATATGAATCAAGAATTGAGTAAAACATAAATTATCAAAGCATTAATAAAAAAAAGAAACAACCAATTTGTGCTTTATTTCACAACGTCATCTTTCAATATGCAACTCTCTACATTCGTCTTCTTTGTATTTTTACTCAAAGCAAACTTTGTCGAAAATAGTGTAGTTCATACGTATGATCTTGCATCGCAAATGCCATCACGTTTTGTTTGTATGTTTTCTGTCAGTTGGTTTGGTATTGGTCCATCCGATCCTCAAGGAAAAGGACCAGATGCATATACAAGTCATTGGAATATAGGTAGTCAAGGCTCATGTGTTTCTGCATCTCAACCTGATCAATGTAGAACAGATGGACAAAGAAATATATCATCATATTATCGACCACTTGCTGGTATTTATTCATCAAGTGGATTAGATAATGAAAGTCTTGCTCGTATTGATCTTATGTTAACAACATTGAAAAAAGAAAATAATTGTGATTATGGTCATGCACAATTGAATGCATGGTCAATTCAACTTGAATCTATACAACTTTCATCAAAATACATACGTAATCCATCGATAAATGTTGAAATTCCTTATCAAGCATATTTACATTTTCGTCAAAGAGTTCAAATTTTAAAATTTGCACCTGGTGTTATTGTTCCTGGTTATGATAGTACTTGGTTATATTCATTTTCAAATTATTTAGGTCTTGGTCATTGTGATAATTCAAATTCGAGTAATCTTCGAGATAGATGTCTAAATGTGACTATAGCTGATTTTGTCGATAATATATCTGATATATCTTTAACTTCTAATTATCTGATTAATGGAAAACCTCTTATTTTTATTTATACATCTCTAGGAGGAAACTTACTCACATCTGCAGA